GCTACTCAGGAAGCTAAGGCAGGAGAATCGCTTCAACCTGGGAGGTGGAGCTTGTAGTGAGCCAAGATCCCACCATTGCACCCCAGCCTGGGCAACAAGAGCAAAAGCTCCATCTCAAAAAAAAAAATGTATATATATATATATATATATAAATTTTTTTTAAATCTGCAAAAGATATATATATATATATATATCTGTAATACATTGAATAAAAATGAAAATAAATTAGTAAATTATTTGGTTTACTTAAATTTATTTTTGGTTTTTATATTATTTATAAATTTAATTTAAATAAATTAAATACGTTCTCACAGCATTTGTACTAAATGTCAGTAGTTGCCTTTTATAAAACTAGATCTCCTTTAGCCAACTGCCCTCCAAAACTGGTCACTACTTGCTTATTGTATACTGTGTTTTAGTAGCTCCACTACCCTCTAGTCAACTAAGCCGTAAGTCGGCTTCATTCTTGTCTTCTCTCTCACCTTCAACCCTGATTCCCAATCAGTTCCTAAGTTCTGATTCTGCCTTCCAAATAAGTCTTGAATCTGTCTTCTCAGTCTGCCCTCTTCCACACATTTGCACAATTCAACGATGATGTTTCCACCTGGCCTACTGCTATTTCCTTTTTAAAAAAATATTTTATTTTATTTTTAAATTTCAATCTGTTTATTTATTTATTTATTTTGAGACCAAGTTATGAGACTGGCTAATATTTGTATTTTTGGTAGAGACGGGGTTTCACCAAGTTGCCAAGGCTGGTCTCAAACTTCTGGGCTCAAGCAATCCACCTGCCTTGGCCTACCAAAATGTTGGGATAACAGGCATGAGCCATCTCACCTGGCCAAGCAGTATCTTTCTAACTGGTATTCTGTTGTTACTCCTCCTCAATACCTCCTTGTCAAAAACATTTTTCTTATTTTCACCAGAGTGTTTGATCTCTAAATTGCCAATCTGTCTCTTTTCTGCTTTGCTCCTTATCTGGAAAACACACCTCTTCACCTGAAAGCCACAATCCAAGCTCCTTAGCATAACACCCATGGCTCCTGCCACCTCCCCCTATTCTGTGTCCACTCTGTAGATGGTGATAGGACTAATTTCTCAGCAGTGGACTAGCACTCACCATGCAACAGCATCTGTCTACATCATTGCCCGTTCTGTTCCTTTATCTACCATATGATATCCTGCCCTCCCCTGGAAGGGCCAATTCCTACTCAATTAACATGGATGCTACCTCCCCAGAAGACTTTCCTGATGTATTAGCAATCTCTACGTACCACTCTGAGAACTGATCCCATCCTATGGAAAGGATACATTTCCCATACTACCTTGTTCCTCTAGGTTCTAAACTCCTCAGAGCATGACCTATTTGATTTGTGTTTGTAAAGAAAATCTTGTTAACATGCCTGGCACACAGTAGCTTCTCAGTAAATATTTGTCAAATTAGTTTTGCCAGCAGGTATAAAGCTGTTACTCTAGAATGGATAGAATAGATAGATAGTATGCCAGCAATCTACTCTGTCAACATAGTTATTGCACAATACTGGCTACTAGCACCCCATAGTATTAAGATAAGCTTGCACAGAATTCATAAGCTTTGGAACGTATGAAATAATGACTCTCAGTGTTTTTATTATAGTGCTGAATTTTTCATTCCTTTTAGCCTTTCTATCTTCCTTGATTTGTTTTTGTCCTTTGAAGAATCTCAAATATTCTTACAGAATCAATAATGAAAATATTATTTTCAAAACAGTGTGCCAACTAAAGAACATTCTTAAGCTTGCTAACTTTTTTTGAATGAATATAGCAAAGAAAAGAAGCTCTGAAGAAAGATACCACATAGAAGGATTGCTTTCATTATATAAAAACTAGGTCCCAACTTTTAAAAATGATTCTTTTTATCATTAAGTTTACTTAAAAAGTTCCAATCTGGAAAACTACTTGCACATGCCTTGTGCGTAATAAGACTACTTTATGTTCTTATGCATTAATTATTAACAAAATACGAACCTTGTTCTTCCTTTCTCTTTCATCAGAAAACCTTAAACCTGATGATAAGGAATAATATGGCCAAATATTATAATATATTAAGGAAGGGGGTTTTTAAGTAAGAATTAATCTTACTAAAAATGTGAGTAAATAAGAATAGAAATGGAATTATTTGCAGAAATGATCCTCCTGGCAGATACATAGATGCACTTTTAAGTGTCTATAATTACTATTAGAACAACAAAAAAATCAGTACTTATAAAAGCAAAAAAAAAAAAAAAACTGGTATAACAAAACCTATTTTCTCCTTAACAAAGTTTTACTGACAAGTACTGGTATTTAAAATCATATTTTCTTCTTGCTACATTAAGCTTTTCATTTAAAGTTAAAGTATACATCTGTTTTCAAATAACTTTTTTTTTTAACAAGCATTTAAACATTTATGCATCAAGATTCCCTCTATATAGGTAAATATACAAGGTCTTTGGGCTTAAAAAATATATATTCAAGTCAGAATGAGAAAAGAAAGAAAGTACCAACCTGTTGCAGTCGGCAGAGAGAAGCAGTCTTGAGTACAGGGTGTAAAATCAAATGACCTAACTCCAGCTACTTTTGTTTTCACTTTACACCCCGCCTTTATCTTGCATCCAAGAAGGCTTTCCTGAAATTCAATCTTGTGAGTACTTGATGTTTTATTTTCTGTAAAATGATCTGTGAAGTTAAATTCAACTTCTTAAGTGGTTGAGGTTACAAATTCAAAAAAATTCCATCTTTTTCAAAAAACTACAGACCTTTCAAAGTTTCCACTTAGTCACAGGGGACAAAAAAGTGCCTGCAGCTGAGCTACTGACGGCTGAACCAGGAGAGTCCACCCAAGGGCATCTAGGCAGCACTTGTAGGTAGCATCTAGAGAAATACTCTCTAAATAGTTATTTTGTCTAGGAATGAAAGCAAATGTGATTTTAACCCAGAAAAATATCTTTTTGAAGACTAAATTATCAAAAACTAAATTATGAGTAATCATTAGGTATTTGCAATATAATTTAACATTTTTGTGCCGCATCATTTAATATTTACTTAAAACTACTAGACTCCTCCTGTTTTCACTGTACTTTGTCTATCTTTGCCCCAGAGTGTTTTCCCATGGCTTTATGCTCTCTTGTTTTCTTATTACCTTTTTTCCAAAGCCAGAGTATGAGCCTTCAAAATCCTTCAGTCTGGGAGGCTATTTATTTTTTCCACATTTCCACACAAATGAAAGTTAGAGAAAGAAGAGAAATTTATGCAGATTTGGCCCTCATGGCCTATTTCAACTTGACTGTCCTCGAATTTGCATATCAGTTGCCTAATCTATTTTTTCATGTGAGGTCAGGCTCAGTCCCCACCTGCAGAAATTATTTCAGACCCATGCCATTTTTTCTTTCTTTTTTAAAAAGCATACTTTTAAGTTCAGGGGTACATGTGCAGGTTTGTTACACAGGTAAACGTGTATCATGGGGGTTTGTCGTGCAGATTATTTTATCACCCAGGTATTAAGCCTAGTACCCATTAGTTATTTCTCCTGATCCTCTTCCTCCTTCGACCCTCTATGCTTTGATAGGCCCCATTGTGTTCCCCTCCATGTGTCCTCATCATTTAGCTCCCACTTATAAGTGAGCACATGTGGAATTTGGCTTTCTGTCCCTGTGTTAGTTTGCTAAGGGTAATGGCCTCCAGCTCTATCCACGTCCCTGCAAAGGACATAATCTCATTCTTTTTTTGGCTGCATAGTATTCCATGGTGTATATGTACCACGTTTTCTTTATCCAGTCTGTCATTGATGGGCATTTAGGTTGATTCCATGTCTTTGCTGTTGTGTATAGTGCTGCAATGAACATACACATCCATGTGTCTTTATAATAGAATAATTTATGTTCCTTTGGGTGTATACCCAGTAATGGAATTGCTGGTTCAAATGATAGTTCTGTCTTTAGGTCTTTGAGGAATTCCCACACTGTTTTCCACAATGGTTGAACTAGTTTACACTTCCACCAACAGTGTATAAGCACTCCTTTTTCTTCACAACCTCACCAGCATCTGTAATTTTTTGAGTTTTTAATAATACCCATTCTGATGGTGTGAGATGGTATCTCTGTGATTTTGATTTGCATTTCTCTAACAATCAGTGGTGTTTAGTTTTTTTCATATGATTGTTGGCGGTATATGTCTTTTTTTGAGAAGTGTCTGTTCACATCCTTTGCCCACTTTTTAATGGGGTTGTTTTTTTCTTGTAAATTTAAATTTCTTATAGATGGTAGATATTAGACCTTTGTTAGATCCATAGTTTACAAGGATTTTCTCTAATTCTGTAGGTTGTCTGCTTACTCTGTTGGTAGTGTCTTTTGCTGTGGAAAAGCCCTTCAGTTTAATTAGGTCCCATTTGTTATTTTTTGCTTCTATTGCAATTGCTTTTGGCATCTTCTTCATGAATTCTCATAGTAGCCTACAGGATCCCACAAGGTCTGCCTCTACCCCTCATTGTCTCTCTGACTTCATTTCACATTACTCACCCCTTTGCCTGCTTGTTCTGCCACACCCAGCTTCTTGCTGTTTTAGAGCATACCAGTCACAATCCTTATCGTGCTGGCTCTTCTGTCTGCCTGGAATGTGCCGTGTCTGAGTAATTGCAAAGCTCACTTCCTCTTCTCTTTCAAGTGTTTGCCCAATCACCACCAGCTCGCTGAGGCAATTCGTGACTACTCTTCTTAAAATACCCCTCATCCACCTGGACTCCAGTCCACCAGACCCACAGTACTTACCATGTTCTAATGCACCATATCATTTATGCTATGATTGCTGTTGATTGTCTCACACCCTGTATTAGAACATAAGCTTCATCAGAACAGGGACTCTGGTTTGCTTTGTTCATTGATATATTCCAAGTACCAAGAATAGTGCCTTGCACATAATAAGTATTCAAAAATATTTTGAATTAATAGAACAAACCTACTGTCCACTTTGATTATTATCTCATTTTACTTACCCTTGATGTTATACTTCCTTAACAACTAGTCTGTAACTGCAGCCTCCATAATTATCAATTAATAATCTCTTTAGTCTTTCTAACTGACACATAATACTGACTTGTAAGACTTTGCAAATACTGTTACTCCTGTCTAGAGTACTCTTCCCACCCTATTTTAGATCCCTAACTCCTATTTACATTTCAGATTTAGGTCTGACCTTAACATTAATCCAGGAAGCCTTCCCTAACCATTTGAGATTAAAACAGATATGCCTACTCTTCTATAGTCTTTTCACTGTGTTGTTGGTACTTATTAAAATTTCCTTTGTTCTATAGCTATCTTATACCCTGCTGTATCCTCAGCATTTGGCTTGGTACCTTCTTTATGGTACCAGCTTAATGAAAAATAATTAAATTTATGAATCAATCAACTGATGTTTAACTTATCCTCCACAGACATATAAGTTTAGCAATGGAGCTGGAATTCTGAATTCAGATCTTCAGTCAATTTTATCATATCACTTTGTTATTTTATGATGCCATCTATTATAGAATCTTGATACTCTTTTATAGATTCATAAATATCTATCCCTTTCCTTTATTTACCCCACCCCCAACCACCATAAGCTTTCTCATAAATGGGATTCTTTGATTGTAAATCAGCTATAATGCTATAATCTTTACATCTTTTGAATTTGCATATTGTTTTTGCTAATTTAGACACATGCAAAGCCCTTGAGGCATAGGGGATCTCAGAATTGAGCAAATTCTTCTGGTAGCATGTGTATGAATGCTGTGTATAAATCATGGTGTATGAATCATGGTGAAACTAGCTGACTGGCTGACCTTTTTCTGTGTTTTCCTTTTCCCCTAATAGAACTAGGAGAGACAGTGGTAATAGAGGAGAATTGACAAAATATGAGAAGTAATCATGTAGCTTGGAGGGTAGGCAGACGCATCACTCCTCAGGCAACTTTTCAAAGTACTTACTTGGTGTTTTTTTAGCTCTCTTGTACTTCTCATGTCCCTAAGAACTGACTATGATTCCATTTTGCTGCTTATCATAAATGGGCTCCTACTCTTAACTCCCTAGCATAGCAGTGTCCCTTGTTCTTAAAGAATTTCTCAGGGCCGGGCGCGGTGGCTCAAGCCTGTAATCCCAGCACTTTGGGAGGCCGAGGCGGGTGGATCACGAGGTCAAGAGATCGAGACCATCCTGGTCAACATGGTGAAACCCCGTCTCTACTAAAAATACAAAAAATTAGCTGGGCATGGTGGTGCGTGCCTGTAATCCCAGCTACTCAGGAGGCTGAGGCAGGAGAATTGCCTGAACCCAGGAGGCGGAGGTTGCGGTGAGCCGAGATCGCGCCACTGCACTCCAGCCTGGGTAACGAGAACAAAACTCCGTCTCAAAAAAAAAAAAAAGAATTTCTCTCCCCACACCCATTTCTCATCCCTCCTCTTGTAGCATCATTTTGCTATGTTGCCCAGGCTGGTCTCCAACTCCTCGACTCAAACCATCCACCCACCCCAGCCTCCAAAAGTGCTGGGATGAATCTGTAATTTTGATGAATATTGCCAAATTGTACTCCATAGGGATAGTATTACTTTGTTCTCTGCCAATAGTGTATGGAAGTGTCTGTTTTTTCTAAAATACTGCCAATAGAATGTGTCGTTTTACTACCACTTTGCTTTCTAAATGACTTGTAACAGATTCAGTGCCCCTTACCTACCCTTGCTAGGCATGTGTGGAATCCTGGATAATAAATTGCTGTTGAATGTCTTCATTATTGCTGTATTCTACATTTATTTGATTAGTGGTAATATTAAACACTTTAAAAAATCTCTTATTCTTATTTTCTCTTTTTGCAGTTGTGTTCTTTCCCCATCTTTATACTGATTTTCAGGTATTCTTTAGAATTTAGGGAGCTAAGTATTGCATACATTTTGTCATAAATGTTGAAATATTTTCTCCTCCATTTTTTTTCCTTTTAATTTACTTTCTCATGTACAATAGTTTTATATAGACAAACCAACTGATCTTTTTATTTTGACTCTGATTTCATTTATCATTTTTAAGGTTTAAAATCCTTTCTCACCCAGAAATTTGATAACTATTAGATTATTTTTCTTCTAGTTTTTTCATTCTTGACTTTTATTAAATTTTCAACTCTGATCCATTTGGGATTTATTTTGATGTAATCACGTTCTATAGTAACAATAATAATAGCAGCAACTTGTAACATTATTACTTAATTCTTATTTAGATGTAAACACAGAAATGGATTCAGTGAATTTTGAAGATTTCCCTGTTAAAAATAACACACACTCTAAGAGAACACATGGGATTTTTTTTCTTTAACTATGGGATAACTATGTACAATAATCATCTTTTTTTTCATAAGGGAAATTTTGTTGTAAAATAGTACTTAACCTTGTAAAGCTTTTTACTCCAATTTGACTTGTTAGCATTAAAGCCAAAACCAAGTGAAGTTCCAGTGTTGCACCTCAGAAATTCAATGTTGGTAGAAGAAACAGCCTTGAGAATTTGTGGATGGCCAACTGTGCTTCATGTATGTAATTGTTTACATCACTTCCTTAATTGTTACAAACCACACCATACTCAAAGGTCATTTTTTTTAATCCACCTGTCATTTCTCCTTTTATTAGAAAATGATTTTGCAGTTGTAAAAGCCTAAGAAATTAAAAATCATCAACTAACATCAGGGAGATGTAATTTTCAGCCTGACTTAATCCTGGGACTTCAACAGCCTTGAAATACCAGAGTGTCTGGACTAAAAACAAAATTACTTTATCTAGTCCATCTGTTTTCATTCATGAAAGCCTGTGACACAGCATATATGTTTAAACATTCTCTGTTTATTGGCCTATTCAGATTTCCTGTAATATATTTTATTTATGACATTGGGTATCCTGTTCATTAACTAAAATGGCACAAACAAGCAAAACTCTCTTTAAAAGAAGGTTGTTTCAGCTGCTGCACTTGCCAAATTCTGCTTGTAGCTAAAGGGCAATGATATATTTGGGAAGGGTTTTTCTCATTTTTCTGAAACATCATTGTTAAGTACAAATATTTCAAATTCTATAAACTATGGATTCACCCTACTTCCTCTACTTACTGATGACAAAAGACATCCAACTTAAACATTATATTTTTTAGAATATTAATTGTTCTCCATATAAGATTGAACAAAACAGAATC